CCCATTACTATCTAGAATTCAACACAAATATCTTGGCAATGATTCAATAAAACTGCTGCTAATTAGTCATTACTATTTTTATGGCCAATAAATTCCATTAACTAGGCTCATGCTTCCCAATTTTTGTTATCCAACCTTTTAGCTTCCTTGGAAAAGAAATTAATAAGTTTGCGGGTTGAATTGGGTGATAGAAGAAAAACTAAGGAAAATAAATATCTTTTTACTTCCGTTGAAAATGGCATTATTTAAGGTCAGAGAATGGAAGGTTAATGGGTGACCTAAGAATGTGAGTGAATATTTCCCAGAGGAAATAATCGCCAGTTGTTTTTTATCCTTCCTTAGACAAGAACAGGAGGAAATTAGCTTAAATTTCATTTGGTTTAGAGTAATGGAAGCAAGCTATGAAATCTAATTCTCAAGGAATCTTTTCTTCAAAATAAAATGGAGACTTACTGCCTTCCAAGGTTTCAGTACAATCTTGACTCTAAGTATGAGAAAATAGTAAAGTTTTAGTCATTCATCTCTATAATCCCTTTCAAGGGAAGAAAACAAGCAATTACCGGACTATTATGCAACAGGTGTTTTCACTTGTATTCATTTAACCTTTCCTGAAAATTATTTTTCCTACTTTGCAAGTGAAGATGAGTTTAGTTTGCCCAAAGGCATTGAGCTAATGAAAAGCAGAATCTAAAGACATTGAGAACTGTACTGAGCAATTTTGGTCAAATCTTTCTGCTTAGAACCCTTCTATCCTAATGTTTAAATGACATTATCTTCAATATTTAACAAGTTAAAAAAAACAAAGTAAATGGATTAATACGGCTATCACTTATTGAGCTAATATATACAAAATATATAAGCATTCTACAGTGTCTAATTTAATGATAGATTATATTTGAGACAAGTGTTTTATCAGCCCTTTTTGTAAAAGGAAACCTAAAACTCAAAGTTAAACTGCTTGCTTGGAATTAACAGTCAGAGGGATTGTGGAGCCAAGATTCAAACCATGTGGTCTGACCCTAGCTTAGGCCAGGGCATAGCAAGTAGATAATAGGAACATTGTAAACACTTGTGGTTTCATAGTTTGATTTAATGAGAATTTCTTATAGTTTCATTATCATTATGTACCTAAAATCAGTTGCTACAGAAATATAATAGTCATTAAATAATGTCAGTAACAAATTTGGCTAAGTGCCTGGCTTTTTTAAGATTAAAAAAAAAAAAAATGAGTGGTTTCTAGCTCCAAAATAAAGTCTCAGGGCCTGTTTTGTTTTTTTTCCAAGTCAAGCACTTTTGTTAATAGGCCAAGTAACCACAGATTCTCCTGGGTTTGTGGTATAGTTTGTCATGCTCTAGAAAAGGTTGAGATGCATCAAAAATATATGCTAAGAAGCCCGTCCGTGCCTGAAGGGCTAATGAAGAGGACCTTTTAACTTCAAGGGAGGCATTTTCCCCTGTGCTGCCAAGGGGCTGTGAGAAGCAAGTGTTTATGGAACTCAGAGCAGAGAGCACCCAATGCCAGCACTGACTTCAGTTTTTGTTTCATCAAGTCATAGATATTTAGAAGCAGAAAGAACCAATTGAGATCATCTGGTCCAATCCCTTTATCTGACAGGGAAGGAATTTGAGGAGCAGGCTAGGTTAAGTACTTTCTCTAGGGTCAAAGAGCTAATTAGTGACAGAGTTAGCAATAAATCATTTCCATGAATAGACATGCTTTCAAAGTGAATTCAATTACCTTGTACTCAATGTGACTATTAAGAACACCCAGGTAGCTAGACATACTCTGATGTTTCCATAAGGCAGATGTAACTCAAGAGGGGCTACAATGAGCTTCTAAATATTGAACTGTGTAAATCAAACACCTTTAAAATATGCCATTTCTATTCAAATCATTATCATTTGATCTGGTATTTCAACTAACTTTTGGGTCTTAATATATAGTTTTGACCCAGTAAATGCTCAAGTATTTCAATCTTTTGTTTAATATATAAAAGATATATTAAAATTCAGAGACATTTCAGATAAACTGGGCATAAAGGATAAAATTATTTCACATTTGTAAACTGTAGCACAAAATCCCAAAAGACATATTCTTTTGATTTTTAATGCATAATTTTTCCCTAGAATCTATATCAAGGGTCATCCCTGTTTCTATTTGATTTTTTTTAAAGCTACAGGGTATAATGGTAATCCATTAGTATTAACAACTTAATAGCCAAATAGAAGGTCTCAAAGTGTTTAGAGGAAGTAAAAGTATTTTCATATGTGGAATATCATGAATGTTAATTTGTCTCAACTTGCTGAATGGATCTATCTCAGTGTCAAAGATTTGCCTTCAGGGAACATGGTTAAATTAGTAAAGGATGAAAGGGAAACATCAGTGAGCAAAAATAAAAATAAAGTTCAGGGTTAAAATAGATTTGGAGAAAACAACCAATTACTGAGTCTACAGTCAATAACAAACACCTGCTAGTCTCCCCAGGCTAAAACCAGGAAAGACCTGAGCCCGTGAAAATAGACATGAAGACCATGCAAATACAGCCTGATAACAGAACAAGAAGCTATTTCCACAAAGGGAAAAAGAGCCCAGATCAAGTAAAACATGTGGAATATCAATGCAGGGAGGTTGAGGGTCAGAGAAGAGATTCACTCACAGAAGAACTAATTCTGATAATTATAAAATCATATAGTTTGACACACAATGCTCCAATGACCACATTACAAACATTAAACCTGAATAGAAATAGAAACCCTCTTTCACACTTCACATTTCTGAAATCTGTGCATGAAGTTCTCTCTTCAGCAGGGCCCTTTTATTTTAATAGGGACAACACAATAAGGAAAATGGATAGGGTATCCATTATATAGTATATAATGTCAAACATTCAAGCTCTGTGCCTGCCATAAGACATCATTTTTCTAAAAATTTTGTTATGGCTATACAGTATTCAGGCTTCAAGAACATTCCACAGCTATTTGATGTTAATCACTGTTGGATTTTCTTGTCCTAGGAAACATTCTCCAAAGTAAATCACTCAGATTTATGAATGCTACTAACAGAAGAACATAGCAGTGTGTCTAATTTCATGGGAAGATGTTTTGTTCAGTTGCAAGTAATAAAACATAGCATTTTTCTTCCTGGGCTTGTTAAGAATGCTAGTGTTGTGTCCTGTTTTGTTTTGCTTTAACCTCAACTTCACAATCTCCAAAGCAGAAAAATTTTCAAGGTAACCTTCCTAAATGGAATGATTGATAATCTAGGTGTTTATTTAAAATCCATTTATTAGAAAGGTCTTATATAGAATCCCCGGGGAACCCAGAATCCCAATAAGATGATCAACAAATTAGCAAAAGTACACTGGAAAGGTTCTATTAATTTTATTTTATTTAATATACACTATGTGCCAGGCACAGTTCTAAATACTTTATTGATATTAAACACATTTCATCCACTTAGTACTTAATAATAGCCCTGTTAGGTATAAACTTTCATTACCCCAGTTCTAGAGGAAGTAAACAAAACACAGAAAGGTAAATAATTTATCACTAGTAGAAGTAATTCTATTTTAGAACTTGGATATGATAAAAATTTCTAGTATGATGCTTTATTCTCTTCTGGGCCTCCACCATGAAAGATAGTTTTGGTTGATCATTGGTGGCTTACACTTGTAACCCTAGCTACTTGGGAAGCTGAGATTTGAAGATGGTGGTTCAAAGCCAACCTAGGAAGAAAAGTATATGAGACTCTTATCTCCAATTAACCAGCTAAAAGCTGGAAATGCAAGTGTGGTTCAAATGATAGAATGACTTCCTTGAGTGAAAAAGCAAAGCAAAAATATTAGGTCCCGTATTCAAGCCCGCGTACTGGGGAAAAGAAAAAGAACGAGAAAATGTTCATATTTCCTACCTTTGATCGGGGAGTAAGCAAGACAAGAACAGTACCCAAAGAGAGACCAAAAAGTACGGGATGGGACAGAAACTCAAACCCACAAGTTCTCTAGATTCCATAATCTAAACACATGATCCTTTCTCACATTTACTCTGCATCATTATACAGACTGAGGCTAGTAGAAAGGTAGAGCTGTCTGGCTTCTTCTGAATGCTTTCAATTTTTTGTATACTTTATGTAATTCTATATTCTTTCTTGTGGCTTGATGATATTTTACAATTACTGGATGTTTTGAGACTGTAGAGCATAATCTTCAGCATCTATAGACTGAGTCTAGTACAAAAGATGTACATTTTTCATAATTCTTGTTCATTCATTCATTCATCACAAACCTTTGGAGGACCGACCTCACTTTGCCACAGACAAAATAGGTGTATTTATTACACAATTCTGTACTTTTAGAAATTCTTTTAAAAAAATCAGTCATTTCCTTTTTGCTTTTATTCAAAGAAACACCACAACAATAATTTCTTGTCACACTATCATAGATTTTTATTGTAGCAGGTATTCACAAAAAAAATGTTTTGGCAAGTGTCACTTTCCTGAATTTATCAATAGGTAAATGTACTCTTTTAAATAATAAGACTTTTTAAAGGGTGTGTGTGTCCATCAAGCCAGTTATTTCTTCTCCAAATACTCCGTGTGTGTGTGTGTGTGTGTGTGTGTGTGTGTGTGTGTGTGTGTGTGTGTGTGTGTGCATGCGCACGTCACTCCCAAGGTTTGAATTCAGGGTGTGGGTGCTGTCGCTGAGTTCTTGTGCTCAAGGCTACCACTCTACCACTTGAAGCCATAGCTCCACTTCTGGTTTTTGAGTGGTTAACTGGAGATAGAGTCCCAAGGGGACTCTTTTTCTTCCTGTGCTGGCTTCCAACAGCGATCCTCATATCTCAGCCTCCTGAGGCACTAGGATTACAGGCATGAACCACTGGCCCCATCTAAATATCTTTTTTGTAATTAAAACTTGTTTCTATATTATTTTCATCATTTTCATTTAAAAGACAGACATTTCTTTTTCCACTTGAAAAGTTTGGCCAAATGAGTCGCCTACCTTTATTACATGATGCTTTTCCTGGAACACAGGAATCTTAAACATTTGGCACCAATACGTTGTACCTTTGTTTGGGATTGGGACCTGTCTTAATAAAAAGGGGAGAAAGACACACAGTCACATTCTGTTGGCATGGTATTAAATACAATTTACATAGGCAAAAATGGTACACTTTCTGTAAAACCATCCACACAGTCATGACACCTAAAATAACTTACGTCCTGATTTACAAGGTCAAAGTATGGCAAGACTGTAGGCAACATGCTGGCTTTCTCTGGATTCAACAAACGTAGACTCTTGGTGCCTCTATTGGAGTCGTGGTACTTGGGACCAGCTTCTCCTACATCTTCCTGATGGTAGGCCCAGATCACTCGCACTGTGCTATCCTGATGAGCAGACATGGATATGTTAGATCTCAGACAAGTACTTTCTTTACCTTTGAGTTGAGTCTAATGAAATCTATTTAAAGCAGGATTTAAAAATGGAGGAAAGAAACTGATGACATTAGAAGTTCTCAACATGGGCTCTGATTTCACAAAGTGGACTTCAGTTGTTAAGGTTTCAATCATACGAGTTACTGTTTTTAGAAAGACCTCTTGACAGGCAAGATGTGTGACCCAAAATAGGCCAAAGAAAAACTGACTCTGAAATTTTGCTTTCATAAACATGACGGTAGTAAATCTGTCACCCTCAAAATCCTAAAGTAGCAGTGAACAGTTACCAAGTAAATATTACTGTGAATCAGCAGCAACTTTGGGAAATTGAAAGTTGTTAGAATGTGATGAGACCTTTTAGGCAAAATAAGCAAGCAAAATTAAAATTAAAATTATCATAAGATTCTTCATAATAGGCTTATTTTCCCAGGCAATAGGCTAGTCGTGTGTATGCATTTACAAATATGGAAGGAATTGTAGATTCCAGGTCTATTACACTAGAGTCAACCTCAAATCCCTTTATGAATCCTGGGAATTTCCAAGGGACTGGGGTACTCCAACTGAAGGAAGCACTGTCAATTGAAACTGGTTTCCTCTGAGCCACTAAGAGAGATTGCCCAGAGGGTTGTGTGGTGAGAAAGGTTTGCTAGAGTATCGAGAAATTGTTGGTCCTCCCACAGACTAAGGTGCTTTTGCCAGGTGCTGGTAATAAGAACTCTGAAAATAAACAACAAAGGAAAAGCTCCTGATTTTAAATGTTCTCTTTGCTATATTCTTTCTTAATAAGTCAGATGACTATAATTATTATTCCAATTAAAACATAATTGCCCTGTATGTTACCTAAAACCTGATCTATGTGCTGGCATGTGTTTTTATTCCTCTTTTACTCCTTACACTGAATGTTAATTAGAATTATTTGAGGGTTTTTTTTGGGGGGGGGTCTGGTCGTGAGGTCTGAACTCTGGGCCTGGGCGCTGTCCCTCAGCTCTTCAGCTCAAGGCTAGCACTCTACCACTTGAGCCAGAGCGCCACTTCCAGCTTTTTTTTTCCTGCTTATGTGGTGCTGAGGAATCCAACCCAGGGCCTCAGGCATGCAAGGCAAGTGCTCTCCCACTGAGCCACCTTCCCAGCTCTGAGGGTTTTTAATATTCTTTTTTTAAAAGCTTTAGTGTATTAAACAAAAAAAATTTTATTGGCCTATACAAAATGAAAATAGTGCAACTTGTGTAAAAAAATGTTACATTTGCACATGGATTATTATTCTCTAAATGTTTAATTTGAATATATGTAAATTTTTTTGTGTGAAATCTAAAACTAAAAAAATGTCATATAATATGGCAGTGATCAGATTTTCATCATTTTTGTTTTGGAAATTGACAAAACTGAGTCAGTTATAAATCATGTGAATTACATCTTAATCAATATCATAATTCTCCCTGAAGAAAACATCTCTTACAATCTTTAGCTATTGTGTATTTTCAAATTTTATACAGAAGCAAAGATTCACTTTATATATGATCATAAAAACTTTAAAGAGCTCTTCAAAATGTCAAATTAACATGATAATACACTTATTGAAATTTATAATCTTAGATTTTCTTCTGAACTCAGGGCCTGATCTCAGGCCCTGGGATTTGTTCCTGAGCTTTTGTATTCAATGCTAGCTCTCTACCACTTGGAGCCAAAACTCCCCTTCTGGTCTTCTTTGGTACTTAATAGGACATAAGTGTCTCATGGATTTTGCTGACCTGGCTGGCTTTGAATTGCCAAATCCTCAGATCTCAGGCCTCCTAAGTAGCTAGGATTACAGATGTGAGCCATCAGTGCCTGGCTTTGAAGGTACTTTCTAAGCATTTATTCATGTAGTTGGTAAAGTGACTTACCAGTAAACACATCCAATCCATCCCGCCTGTTCTGTCTTACCGTTATGCTCTTGTCATGGATGTCACAGGTGTGCAGTTCTCTGGTAAATTCAATTATTGTGTGTGTGCTGTTTTCCATGGCATATTCTAGTTGGTAATCTTGCTGAGGGTCTTTTTTCAACTCCTTCTTTGTATTTGTAAAATAGTCCTATGGAAAACATGAAAATGAAAAATCCAGACTGTCTAAATAATGAATGAAAAGAATTGAAGTGGATTCATAGGAACTAAAACCCTCATTCTGGGTTTGCTAATTACAACATCCTTTATCCAGACTTATTATGTAAATCCTGGGGATTTCTAAGGGAAATCTTTCAACAGAAGTCTTTCAACAGAACAGACATTTATTTAGGACTCTGGAATACATTGAAATTCAGGAAAAGACAGAGAGATTTATAAGTTTTCACAGAGTATCAAAAAAACAAATGGATACTCAAGATCATCAGATACTTCACTGTATTTGAAAAGGTGGACAATTTCAGCACTGTGAAATGTTTTTGCCCCCTAAGGAAATCACTAGTGAACAGCCAAGGCAGAGCCAGCCCCAAGGCCAGAACTCTTTTCCTATTGTGCCTGGTGGAGCAACTCCACCTTTCAGGTTTTAATGACACAGGCTTATGAGGATGAGATGTAATTTTAAACAAATATGCAAAGAAATGAAACTAGTTGAAATGTAAAATATCGAAATGCTAAGGAAGTTGTGTTTCTGTGGATCAGCCATAGTTGTTGCACTATACTCTTCAGATGGTATACACAGCTCTCTAAGAAAGCAGACTTTGCAATGTAATAACTAGGACCTAACCTCTGGCTGCAGAAAATGAGGGAAGGGGCAACAATGTTCTACAAGAATTGTACTCATTTCCTTACTTATGTAACTGTTACTGTATATCACCTTTACAATAAAAAATAAAATAACCCCTGCTTGTCCTTTTTAACAGCCTTTCAGTACTGTTGCATCAGACCCTGAGAGCTTTAGCTGAACAGTAAAATGGAAATAATATGCATCTATTTTATAAATTTTGAAAGAAAATTAACTGAAATGGTATGGGCACTATCACACCTTGAGGGGCTTGTGTCCACTCCAAGTTAATTCCCTCCCTCCTTTTACAACAGACTTAGAGATCCCCCTCTCTCAATTGTTTTGCTATTAGCTTACCATGATGAGATTTATCATGGTACTCATTTTCATCACTTATAAAAAACAAAAAATATATAAATTACATCATTATTCAGTAATTAGAGTTGTTTTAGGATATACATGTTGAATTGTAGTTACTTTTACTGACACCACAATTATAGTTGAAGAATTGATTGCTTTGCTTAACTGGAAAACACACAAGAAAAACAAATTTTCTGTGAACGTCACATTGAAATACATGGCATTTTTTGTTTCATAAGATAATTACCAAATGTGTATAGATTTGGCATCCACAGTCTAGGTATTTTTAATGTGTTAAACCCCAGAGTTATTCACAGTACACAGTCTAACCAACCCATCTTCACCGAAGAAACAATAACTGCTATTTTACATTATACACCAGATCGTTTCTGCACAATACACATATTAACTAATTTAATCTTCACATCAAATCTTGGTGATTAAACCAATATTTTTCATCTACAAAGAAACTGAAGAAATGTCTAGGATTAGATAGCAGGTAAATGTTAAAGACAATATTCAAACCCTAGCATTTTGAATCCCATATTAGCATCCTTTCTCACTATTTTACAAGCTGGTGGCCCCTGCTGAATTGCTGAAATGAGTCTATTTACTTCTGTTTCTCTGTCTACTTACCTCTGAGCTTTATATTAAATATTCTTACATACAGCTAAAGTTGGAGCTTGAAAAAAATTATTCAGAGAACCAGGCTGCAATTGAGAAAGCAATTTAAAAAGCACAATCCTATGATACAATGGTCTGCCTATATTTGTCATGCAGACATTCAATTACAAATGAAGTAACGATGTTTATGGACAAAAGAAGATTTAGATCAACTTAACTATGCCTTTACCCTGTACTCCCATTTCATTACATTATTCATGCAATCAGTTTCTACAAACAAATATAATACAATACAAATTGTAATCAGTTTGAAGAGTCAAATAATTTATCCCAGTCAGGCAAATGTTCTTCCAAAACCATTATTTCCACAAATATCCAGCGTGCTTGCCAATTTTCCATTCATCTTATTTCCACTGAACAGTACCAATTCTTTCCAACTATTCCATCCTTTTTTTCCTGACTTAACTGAATAAAGAAAGAAAACTTCCCTTGACTATTACTGAAAATTCCTTCAGCTCGTCTGCCCCATGTAAACCAATGATCATTGATTATTTTGAGACTAAAACAGAGCCTGAAATGATGGTATGATCCTGGGATCCCAGCATTTGGGAAGCTCAAGAAGGAGAATCCCTTGTATATAAGAATCCAGGACTTGAAAAACATAGCAAAGCCTCGTCTCAAAAAAAAGTAAATGAATAAAAATAAAACATTTAGGGAAAAAACTTCTACCGATTCCTTCAAAGTTCTGGGTTCCTAGGGAAATGTGATTGTCTAAAGGAAATTTTTAAGCTTGATGTAGAAAAATATAACTGGATCTTAATAAAATTAAACGGAAATGTGAACTACAATATCAGTATAGTTCTTTCACATCTTCCAATTTCTGAGGCCTGTTTTGAGATATGTCTTCAGTTTACATAGTTATCTCTGCTGGACCCCAGTTAACAGTTAGAAATTCACGGGTTAATCTCTCATTGTTTTCCTGAGATCTCCCAAAATGCTCTCAACTCCCTGTATACAAGATGCCAACACTCCTCCACATTCAGCTTATGATGCTACAGCTTATTTTATTGAGATAATTTTACCTGTTAAACAGAGGGAAAAACATCTTGCCTTCTCTCTACCCTAGAAAATACCCACTCTATTGAATCATAAAACTTAATTTAGAAGCAGAAAAAAAAGAGCCAAATGAAAATAAAAAAATAGACATAAAGGAGTAAAAAGAGAGAAAATATTCCATGAGACCATACACATAACCTTTTAATGTTAATCTTTTAATGTTAACCTTTTAATGTTAATGGTGACTAAAAATGGACAATTCAGATGAGATATGAGCATGTGTGTGTGTGTGTGTGTGTGTGTGTGTGTGTGTGTGACTGTCTGTCTGTCTGTCTGTCTGTCTGTCTGTCTGTCTGTGTACTAGTTTGGGGGCTTGAGGTCGGGGCCTGGGTGCTGTCCAAATTTAGACTTGTGTGTACTTAATTGGTTCTGCAAAGTGAAATGTGAAGTACCATTACCCTATGTGAATGACTTTATGATCTGATTCTCAACCAATTCTGACTCAAATACCTAACATAGGGTCATTATTTAGCTTGACAGTTATTTAGATAAAATACTATCCATTACCTCTGAAAATCTTGAGTACAATAATAAAGTTAAGGTTTACATGCAACAAAAACAATTTGAATAATGTTCTCAGAAGGTATTTCCTCCCCTTGGTATATGTTGTGCACTAAAAAATTATGAAATATACAATGGAGGTTACAATAAAGTATGCTACCATCAGCTGAAGTCATCAGGCAGCTGACATCAATCATGCAGGGTGGTATCATGAGTACTGTCAATTTCTTTCAAAACAATATCTTTAAGTCATTGCACAAGGAGTTGCCACTTAACAAAGCGGTTTATGAATACAATGCATTCTGATCCACGTCACCCCTTTCAACATTCTCGCCCATCCCTCACAACACGCGCCTTCCCTTACTTCTCTTAGTTTTGTAGTATATTCATTGATTCCTGACTGCATTCTCCCTTCATTCCTCTACCCCTCTCACCTTAGCTCCACTCCACTTCTTGCAAGTACCTGTTTCCTGGTATTTATTTTGTTGAGCTTCCATTTTGCCTTTCTAAGGAATACACTCTTTGAGTTCTCCCTTGAATCTACTATATTTCAGTTAACATATTTGTAACCACTTGCATACCACCCAACGCATTTACTTATAGGTTTATAGGATTAATTTTAGTTTCTGCACTTTGTGAGGGAAACAATACAACTTTTGCAACTTTTGACAATAGAATGACTTAAAGAGAGACTTCTCAGAAATAAAAATGGCCAATAGACAAAGAAATGCTCAACATCTCCTGCCACAAAGAAAATGCAAATCAACACTGAGATTCTAACGCACCCTAGTTAGAATGGCCATTATTAAGAAAACAAACAACAGCAGAGGCTGGGGAGGATATAGCGAAAAGGGAACTCTAATATACCGCTGATGGAAATGAAAGTTTATTAGACCACTCTGGAATGCAGTATGGAGGTTCCTCAAAAAACTAAACATAGAACTACCCTCTAATCCAGCAGTTCTACTCCTGAGCATTTATCTAGGCTACAGGAAAGTCACCAGAATAAATCATGTTCACTGCAGCATTATTAACCATAGCCAAGACATGAAATCAGCCCAGACACCCCTCAAATGGACAAATAGATCAAGAAAATGTGATATATACACAATGGAATTTTTACTCATCCATTAGAAAGAATAACATTTTCCCAGGACTGTCAGTTTCAAACTAAAATAACATGGGCTGGGAAGGTGGCTCAGTGGTAGAGCGCTTGCCTTGCATGCCTGAGACCCTGGGTTTGATTCCTCAGCACCACATAAGCAAAAAGAAAAAAAAGCCGGAAGTGGTGCTGTGGCTCAAGTGGTAGAGTGCTAGCCTTGAGCTGAAGAGCTGAGGGACAGCGCCCAGGCCCAGAGTTCAGGCCCCACGACCAGACCCAAAACAAAACAAAACAAAACAAACTAAGATAACATTCCAAAGAGCTAGCTAGCTTTGGTAATCAACAAGATTGCTAAGACCCTTCGATCAAAAGCTTGATCACACCGATGTTAACTTGGTTCTCACTTATTGTGAGTCTTTTTTTCCTTCTTGCTGCTACAGAACAGAGCTTTGACAAATGCTGTGTGTTACACAGAGTGAAGCGAATACTCTTGTGGGTGTAATAAGCAATACGCATAGACTTCGGTTCAGCTTGGAGACACGCATGCAGGCGCAGCTGCAGGGAGGTCGTTGAGGAAAGCCACACCATCTGTCATCATTTTTCTCAACAGGTGCCTGCAGCTCTCCCTTTTCTCATGTTCAAAAGCCTT